GTTTCTTTATTTTTCTATTACTGTATGTTGATGATATGTTGATTGCTGCGAAGAAATGGATGATGTTATCGGTTTGAAACTTTATTGAGTCATTTGATATGAAAGATTTAGGTGCTGCAAAGAAAATTCTTGGAATGGAAATTTGCAGGACAGAGACTCAAGGAAACTGCGGCTATCTCAACGGGGTTATGTTGAGAAAATGCTAGAAAGGTTTGCGATGAGCAGCGCGAAACCAGTTAGCACTCCATTGGCGAATCACTTTAAGCTCTCATCAGAACAGTGCCCTAAGACAGATAAGGAAGCTGAAATATGGTAATGTTCCGTATTCTAATGCTGTTGGCTGCTTGATGTATGCGATGGTATGTACTCGTCCTGATTTAGCTCATGCTGTTAGTCAGTTTGTAAGTACATGTCTAAACCTAGTAAGCAACATTGGGATGCAGTCAAGTGGATCTTTCGGTACTTAAAGGGTACTGTGGGACATGGAATGTTTTTGGGAGTCAGCGGGATAATCCTTTGGTTGTAGGATATGTGGATTCAGATTATGCAGGTGACTTGGATAATAGAAGATCTACGACAGGTATGCGTTTACTCTTGGTGGAGGGCCTATTTGCTGGAAGTCTACTGTTAAATCTGTCGTGGCACTATCTACAACTGAAGCTGATACATGGCAGCGGCTGAAGCTGCAAAAGAAGCTTTATGGCTTACTGGTTTAGTGAAGGAGTTGGGTGTTCAACAAGGTGGAGTTCATTGCTTTGTGATAATCAAAGTGCTATTCACTTGGCTAAGAATCAGGTGTATCGTGCTAGAACTAAACATATTGATAAGGTTCCACAAGATCAGAGAGTTGGTTGCATCTGAGAGGTTTTGTTTCAGAAGGTATATACTGATGAGAATGCCGCTGATATGTTCACCAAGCCAGTTACGACAGACAAGTTCAAGCATTGCTTGGACTTGTTGAATGTTTCGAGTTGTTAAAGAAGCAAGGTAACCCAACCCACATTGAAGTTTCCAAGGGCAGGATATTCGCCAAGGTGGAGATTTGTTAGGTATGGCTCATAAATATACCAGTAAAGAGGACAGGAGATGGAGCGGAGTGAGCGAAGCGAACATCAACTGTCCTTACAAAGAAAGTCTCGTTGTGGGGTTACAAATTATGTGGGTTGGGGGTGTGGGGCGTAGCCCCCGCGGTACGGTACAGGTTGATTTTGTAATTATGTACCAGGGTTTTCTATTATAATAGAGATGTAACCTAGACCTAAAATATCATTGAATAAAATTCTAGCGCCGCCTAAGCACGAAGACGTAAGCACATTGCCGAACCTCGTAAAATTCTCGTGTCTTTCGTTTTCTTTACCCGTTTTTCGTCAACAAATACTTATGTGTAAGCTATAAAATCTTCCCTTGATCAAATAGCTGCAAACTAGAATAGAAATAGTCGTTGTGGCAGTGGTGTTTGAGCACGAAGGAAGGAGGTGGTTTTGAAGAATGGGGTCCAGGCAGCTGATATTGGTCACCAAACATGTACCATTAACAATAAAGGTGTAGCTTTGCTAATTCCTAATTCCTAAGCAGAGTAGGGTTATGCTCCAACGTTGCAGTTACATTTTCCCAGGGCGGAAAATGACTATTGGGCTTTTTTCCATTCATACATAATAGGATTGGAATGAGTGCATCAGAAACGAATGGCGTGCTGTAAACTGAGAAATGAGGTGGTTGGGGCAAGCCATGTTTTCTCCACTTGGACGTTGAAATTTCCAATATCAAGTGTGGGTCAGGACTGGAGAGGACCACTGCACCATCAATTATGTACATGTGCTAGTACCTCAAGTTAAAGCTTAAAAGAAAATGATGTTCCATTTTTATTTCTTTTTCTCCAGCATCCCTTGTATTTTATTTTAGAGTAAAATACACAAATGTTCCCCGACTATAAAGTGTTATTCCGTTGAGTCCCCCGACTATTAAAAGTTACAAAATGGTTCTCCGATTATATTGTTGCCTTATTGAGTTTATTCGACTATTAAAAGTTACAAAATGATCACTCGACTATTTATATATTCCAAACCCGTCATTTTTTATAAAAATTAATGATCGTCTGAGCTGGACGTTAACATGATGACTGAGATATGATAGTCGCTTGAGATTATAGGATTAAATTTTAGCATATATAGTCAACAAGTTAAAGTTCGACTTAGACTGCTATCAATTTTTAACGGAAAATAAGTTTGAAACTTTTGAATAGTCAGATGACAATTTTGTAACTTTAATAGTCAGGGGACTCAACAAATGAATATCATATAGTCAGATGATCATTTTGTAAAGACTCAACAAAGTAACGCACTATAGTTGGGGGACCATTTGTGTACTTTACCCTTTATTTAAAATCTAGAATGATGTTCCATTTTTATGAGATCACTTTGTCATGTATGTGTATGGTGTATACATTTTGCTTTAATCAACTATCTCGCTGAGTTTCTGGAAGCTCATAATATTAATTTTCATGTCTCTATAGGATATAAGTTTAATACCGATTGATTTAGATTATATTATCGATGTCAAAGTCTCTGACACCCCTGTTATATAAATATCCATTTTAATACTCCTAGAATCATTTGCATGCATAATATTGTTAAATATGATATTTGATAGCATCCTCTATTTGTATATATTTCTATCCGAGTTATGATGATATGGGTATGGATAATGTAATGTTTTTATCAAAGTGTTGTCTATGTGATTAGTAGTTACATATTTAGTAGATATATAGCTGGTCTTTGAATGGAATTTGATAAGCATGGCCATTTTAGATTGAGTACTGGTACCATAATAAAGTTACAAACACTTGGTTAAGGTTTTGATTCTTGAATTCCAATAACTTTAAAAGTAGCAAAACTTGTTTGGAAATTTCGAAACTTTTTAGTAGAGTTCGACGGTATATATGGAGTTTCCGTTTTCCCTACTTTCCCTACTTACTTTTTCTTTCATTTGCTGCTTTATCAGCACACGAACCTTGAAAAGGTTGAGGTAACAAGTACCTGACCATTAAGGACAATAGTAGAGCTAATATCCTTGCAAAGAATCCTAATCATCAAAATCCCATCTTTGAGCATCAAAACATTTTTATTTTTTTTCATTAATCAATCTCGAAGGGGCCACTGGACAGTGGCAGGTCCATCCTTATCGCAGCAGCCTGAATACCTATATATCTAAAAATTCGAATTTTCTTCGATTAATTATATTTTATTAATTGTTCTCACTTTAAAATTTTATTTGTATTTATCTCGGACGAAAATTTTTTGTTATTAATGCAGTGTGTCAAACCTAAAAAATAATTCTCAATCCATCATTACCACTAGGGGACTGACACGTGGATTATCATTCCATCAAATTATAACAATGAGGCAATAGTGAAAAGAATACCATGGCACGTATGTTGTTAAAGATGGTGCATTGTTCAATCATGGCCCTCAGAACCACCCCCGGAATCCTTCAAAAACAGACCGACTTGGAGAAAAAGCTCGTATCTGTATTTGGTATAGCGATCGAAATTAGAGAGGTAAGAATAAAGAAAGATAAATATAAATGGATTTTTGAAAGTAAATAAATGTATGTTAATAACAAAAAAATTATATGAAGTAGACAAATAAAATTTTAGGTGAACCTGATTAAAAGATAAATAATTAATCAAAAAGAGTCGCGCTTTCACTCTAAACTCTCTTTAAATCGGTCATTGAATGAGGAGTGTTATATCTTTTGAATATAACGGAGACTTTTCCCGAATTTCATCACCCACGAGACAAGTCCTCCGTCCAATAACAAATCTTTAATATCATTAATAAACCTAAAGATCTGTGATGACAAATCTATTAATTGACTAATGTATTACATATTATGTGAATCTACATATAACAATCATGATATTAGGTCTGATGTCAAATATACAGAGTTTGTATATAATCCTACGCCAGACAAGAAAAAAAAAACTTCATTCTTCTTCATCTTCACATACTCTCTTTATTTTTCATTATCTCCTCATATTAACATCACCGAACAATCATTAATTAGCCATTCATTACAATTTTCCATCCAAATTATAACTATAATCACAAACACCCATTCTTATCAATAATCTAATCAACAATTGTAATTTTTCTTGCAAATCAGAAGGAATGAACCACGATTTTGTCATCAACAAGGAGCTAAGACAAAGTTGTATCAACCATCTTTGGGGGACTGTTGTTTCTCTTCGATCTAGAGAGATCGTGTGGGGAAAGGAGAAGAGCGACGGTAGAGCAGTGCGACACTTGGCATGCACTGGCCATTGGGACGGAAGCACTAAGAGGAAAGAAGCCAGACAGTGAAAAGAACTAACCCCCACTTCCCCTTATTTTATATATGCGCCAATCTCTTATATTTTTTTCCTGTTAAAAATAGGGTTTCATAGGAAGACCTATCAAGGCTTGACATCTCTTTACTTTATCCAAAATTCTCATTTTTCATTTTCTACATGACAAATACTAAAAAAAAAAATATCAAAACGTAGCAACAATCACCAAATGGATGGGTTACAGAAGAATAAGCACAGCAATGGAGTACATGTAGGATGGATTACATAGGAATCGTTTATAAGACAGCTTAGAACAAAAAAACCAGGGTCCATTTTAAAAACAACTTAAACCTTAGAGGATACATCGGTAATTGACATGGAAACTGGGGACAATGTCTTGTAACTTGTGGCAGTTCGAGAACAAGACCCGATGAAGGTTTTGTCGTAGAGCGTGAGATTTGCAATATACTTCTCCAGCCATGCGCTGCCTTTTCAGTGAGCTTTCCACAAGAAAACTGCAGCTTCTCACCATAAACCCTAAAAACTTCAGCTCTCCAGGTTTCCAAGATCTGCTCATACAACATGATAAAACATATGAACTACCATAAACATGACAGAAGATAACATTCAGTGTCATGAAATAAGAAAACTGAGATGAACAAGACTAAAGATGTATAAAATGTTTAAGATGGATAAAATAACAGAAGAGGGAGCTCCCTTCAGTCCAAGCACAGGAAGTTGAGGATTTCAATTTATCTCCCGCATCATTCACTCATTTACTGGGTATCATTTAGCTGATCCATTCTAACTCAGTATTTGGATGAATGAGTCGGCAGCTAATTAAATCCCACCTCCACCCATAAGTGGACTGAAGAAAGCTCTCTTACCTATTTGATCATCAAAGAAAACTCAGTATTTACACAGATTAATGATTCTACTTTGACATCAGTTTTAAAAGATAAATAAAACACCCCATTCCCCATGTAACCCTAGAAACTGCTCCTACAACAAAGGGTTAGAGAAACAGAAGCGTGGATAGGCGACAATGAAAAAGGACCGGTCAAGAGGCGAAGATCTTTTGTTTTGTTTTTGCTCTTACGTTTCCATTGCTAATCACAATCTAGCAAGCTCAAACGCAAAGCATCTAATGGATGGGCAAGGGGAAGGCCATGGCCTTTATATAGGCCGAAAAAGAAAAGAACATTGCTCAAACAAGAAGTATAATTTCATTAATAATAATAGGTAATAATAATAATGCTACATACTACTAAATATAAACAAAACAAAAGGAGATACTACGCTTTAGATCGGTTAGTGAATCGGTCATGGTATCGGTTTACTAGTTTAATCGGTCGAATCGGTTCAACCGGTCGGAAGAACCAGACGACGTCATAATTATTTAAAAAATTAAATAAAAATACCAAAAATATTTAATAAAAAAATTTTGTATATCACAAGTCATATTCAAAGTAAGTCATAACATATATGAGTTAAAAATCATAAAATCAAGTGAAACAAAATGATTCAAATTAACTACAACATAATATTTAAGATAAAACATATTAAATAATAAATATAATTATATAACTATAATTAAAAAATAAATTTGGGGCTAAAAAAATCATAACAAAATGATATTATTTGGTTTAATTTTTTAAAAAAAGCAATCTCACATGGCTAAGAAACATAGAAAGAACATCTCAAACGTCTAAAGAGTAAAAATATGAGAATAAAACAATTCACATGGCTAAGAAACATAGAAGAGCATCCCAACTAACTTCTATAAATAATAGAGGTAATTTGACATGCAAAATCATGGAGCCTTTTGGTGAGCATAGAGTGAACTATTCTTTCACTTCAATCAAGCTCGAATTTTAGGCTTCAATCGAGCTTCTAAATTTTTTTTAGTTCAAGTCTTTTCGAGTTCAAGTTTCAATATTATATTTCGAGTTCGAGTTGAACTTGATAATTTTTAGTTCGTGAGCTTGAGTCGAGTTGAGCTTACTTTTAAAGTTTGAGTCGAGTTCAGCAATACTCGAGTTCGACTTGGCTCGTTTAACAAACGACTTCGTTTGGTTTAATTTTTTTTTTAAAAAAAACAAAATTGGCGGTTTTTCCCGATTTTTTCCGGTTTTCAGCCTGTCCAGTTCGAACGGTTCAACGGTTCCGACCGGTTCACTAATAACGGTTCAACCGGTTTAATTTGAACCAGACTAGATAACGGTTCCCGGTTGAACCGGCCGATCCGATCCGATTTTCAAAACAATGCTTTATTATGATGAACCAAAAAATTCATATTCTTCTCCTTTTCCTATGGTTGTTTATTCCCCCATTGTAGAACCCTCTCCCAGGCAGGCTCCCTCAAATCTTTCGCATTATGATTTTATCAAGGCCCGTCACTTGTTTTTGCTATTTTCCTACAGATTTTTACATCTAAAGATATGCAATTAACTTCATATTTGCCGAATACTCATCTTAATTTTTAGTAGGTTGAAGGGTGCATTTCGGTATCCATTAGTTCATAGCTTAATGTTTCAATTTGAGAGAAATCAAAGGTTTAAAGTTCAGGTTCAGGTAGATAAGACTATACATACAGTATATAGACTTTAATTTATTTCTCAAGACAAAACTTGAAAAGATGGTAGTAAACTGCAATAGAAACCCTACGAGATTCCTGGAAACCTACAGTCATAGCTAGGGTATTCGTGATTTTACAAGGCAATACTTCGTTGTTTGAATCATCAGCTTCTTTGAACTTTCCAATTCCCATTATATTATGAGTCAGAAATGCAAAAAGATGTTATTCAAACCTTTAATGATATCTGAGGCATTAAATTTTTATAAAAAAATTAATGTGATTTTTAAATTTTTTACTTAATGTGTTTATTTAAATTAAAAATATTGATTTGATTTTTTATCAATAAAATCAACGTTGATTATATGTTTGATGTGATAATTCATAATATTTTATGATGGTCCATGGTAGATTACAATATGATAAAATTACTTTAATTGATTTTCTTAGTTAAGTTCAATGGACTAGTTGATTATTCTAGAAAGTTCAAGTGTTTATTTAATTTTTAGAAAAATAAAAATTATTTTAAATTTTAAATTTAAAATATAAAAAATAGTCCAAAAAATTAAATACAAACACATAATATATGTATGCAACATAAATGCTCAAAATGAAATTAAGCATATACATGTAGTCTTATTTATACATGTACAAATAGTAAACATATTAACCATCACTATAGATGACATACACTTTTATATCATATATGTACGAATATTAAACATAATTTATTATCACACGATTATAAATAACCAATACTTATATAAAATATTTTTAGATTAGTCAAAACTTACAAATTTTATATTTAAATGTAGTTACAAAACATCGTAAGTTATTCATATTAATACACATATTTAATCACATTTCAGACAATTTTAAGAGCCATTCACATGCACTTACACATTGTATATTAAGCTAGTATATAAAGCGCTATTACTTTGCTTCTGATTTTTTGAAATTTATGACTTTCAAGGAATATTAAAAAATTAAAATTATAAAAATATTATAACTTATGAAAAAAAATAAATAAATTATTAAAATATATAATTTTTAAAAATGTATGGTCTTACCTTATAATAAATATTAGAATCAATTTAACGAGAGACTGTCAGAGACAACTTTTTATAAAAGTGTTTAACTTTTTAAATATTTTTAATAATTTACAATTCATCCTTTTATAACTTATTATATTTTTATTTTAATAGTATTTTATTATTTTAATAATTTAATTTTTTATTTATTTTTGAATTTAATATTTTTGTTTTTGTATTTTAAATTTAAATAAATTCTTAGTTTTTTTCCTAAAAAATTAATAAGTCCTCAATTTTTTTAAAAAAATCAATTAAACTCTTGAATTCAATTAAAAAATAATTAAACTCATTTATTATATCATTGTCCATCATAGATTGACACGTCAATATTTTAATTGTCACATCAACATCACTATAGTCAATGTTTCATTTTATTTGTTAAAGATCAAATTGAATTTTTTTCTCTCAATTTAAAAATCATATTGAATGAATAAAAAAAATATTTTTATCCTTTATATTGGAAATGACTACTGATATTAATATGATGATATAAAAAAGAAATCAGCTTTAAAAGTACAGCATGTGTTTTGGAATGGCATGAATCTTTTATCCTTTATATTGCAAATGAGTTTATGCCCATTTGGTGTATATTAAATTTGTTTTAGATCAGCGATGAACATGGTTAGGGTTAGTTTTAAATTAATTAGTTAATTAATAATTTTCATCCGATCAATAAATATTTTGTCTTAAAATAAACGTTGGCACACAATCTCTTAAATGCTAAAACAATAATATCAATCAAAATAAAGTTACTTCAATGGTTAAAAGAATCGTTGTTGTTCCTAGATGTCACATGTTTGAATCTTGGTGACTGAACATTCATTGTTAAATAATTGAGAGTATTTAGAATATATACTATTTTATAATCATTTTTAGCCTAATAAAAAAAACTATGAGAAAAGTAAATTTAAAAATATTTTTAATGATGGAAATTAATTATTTAGCGTCACTTTTACCATCAATAATACTTTTGTGCTGTCAAAACTAATACTAAACATACTTTAGTAATATAAAATTTCCATTCAGAACATTAAAATTAGCAACAATTTTAATCAATATTTCTAGAGTAAGTGGTTAAGAATTATCAGTTGACATTATGTATACGAAATGATATTGCTTAAATATTTTTTATAAGAGATTGGCATGTCAAGACTTTAAATTCAGACATGTAAGAAGTTCAAGGCTTGAGAACAAAGATGTGTGCAAAATTTTATGTTAGGGATAAATTTATAAAATTTTTGGAGGTGTTCCATTGGCTTATTGAGGTGGTTTCTAGCAGTTTTTACGTAATAAACAATTTGGTTAATATATTATTGTTATCCCTTGAAATCTCGGTTCGAACACGACTACACAAAGGTGTATGAACATTTATCGTCAAATGATCGAGACTTTTTCGAACATATACTATCTTATATTCAATCTCAAGCGTGCAAATTCTATATTTTTTCTCAAAATAATGTTTTACACGGCTGGATTGAAAGATTTAAATTTTAAATCCACTCTCATAAAAGAAAGTCATTCACATCATAAAAAGCCAATTCTGAATTATCCAGCTAAGAATGTAGAAAACAAACCAAAACAGATAAAATATAAACAATTAATACAATCAAACACGTAAATTAAAAGCACATTCTGTTATGAATTACATGACAAAGTAGGTAGCTGTCAAATCCAGTCTAAGATGATCTCAAAAACTTTATGCACTAATCAGAAACACAACCCAATTAAAAAAAAAAATTAAAATCGAGACTAAATGGTAAGGATCAAGACAAGGGAGACCTAACTTGTAAGTCAAATACTCATGATGTGTACTTCCCAAGGCCTTTGTCATGATATCAGCTAATCGATCTAGGGTACCAATGTATTCTACTTGAATAAAATAACAATCAATCTCGATATATTTGATTTTCTCATGAAACACTAGATTTACTGCAATTTGCATGACTGCTTCACTAGCACACCGTAACACAGTTGTCTTAATGTCATGAATACCAAGCTCATCCAACGACCCTTTTAGCCGTACTTCTATATTCTACTTCTATGGATGATCTTACAATTTTGTTTTGTTTTTTCGACTTTCAGAAAATAAATGACTATCATAACTTTATAAGAAACCTGTTATTGACCTCCTCGACATAGGACATGATGTTCAATCTGAGTCACAAAATACATTGAGCTTACATTCACTTGAAGCACTCAACAAAATACTCTTTCCTAGATTTTTCTTAATGTATCTTATTAA